TTGGTTGGTTAATCATTTTTCCTGTATATTTTTGTATTGTCTTTAAATCATGTTTCGCAGTTTTTGTATCAAGAACGTCATGAAAATTATAATTAATAATAATAAACTTGGTAAATGACATTTGACTTTCCTTGAGTTGAGTTATTCGGTTAACCTTAATGGCTCTTAAAAGGTTATAAAATGATATGAAAATGAGAGAAGAACGTGTATGATTTGTTTGAAATTTCTTATTCTTTTTCGATGCATTTACAGAATCAAAAGATGTACTTTTAAGGGTATAACTTAAGTTACTTAGTCAAGTAACCCTTCCTATAATTATACATATAGAAATCCTAGATCTCAAATACTTACCTTTTAAATCTCCAACAATTGGCAAAAACAAGATTCAGTTTGGATTGTGTTCCACTTTGCTTTGGCAAGTGGGCATAAACTAGTACTCGGCAAAATGAGGCAAAATATTTATGAACTGCTGACGTCGACAAAGGGGAAAATAAACTGCCGGCAATGGAGGAAAAAAAGAGAGAGAGAGGGGTGCGTTAAGCCCACTTCAATGCATTTATTTTGCGAATTTCATTTATCAGCGAACTCTTCAGACGTCAGAGCATCTGGAAAATCCCCGTTTGCCCATTGGTTCTCGGAAATCAAGGACCACAGAGAAGCTTATCGTGGCAAATCCTATTGTCGTCATATTGACATAACCGCAGAACCATCCGCACCCCCGAAAATAATCCACCACAGGCACTCATTCCTCGTGTTTCTTCTGCTTCGCACCACCAGCCATTCATCTTCCTGGAAATTCTCCAACGAAACATCTCGGGACATCCTTTGTCCTTCCTCCTTTGAGCCATCGTTCCGGTTGCTTGGCCCCATTCAATGTCGAAGTGGAAGTGCCAGTCCCAGTTGCAATGTAAGTCAAAAATCTATCTTCAGTTGGTGAAGTTTTTCAACCATTTCCGGTTTATAAATGGGAATTTATTTGGGATTTCGGTAATAAATAAAAATATAGTTTTAATAAAGATATTCTTAAAAATTATGCAAAATTTACTCTCTTCTTAGTATCTAATTTGACTAAAAAATTAAATGGAATATCACAAAATTGAAACATCGATCCTTTAAGTTGTTACTGGAACCTTTTGCTGATGTTCTTTTATTATTTCTTTTGGGAAAATCCTCTTACTCCGCCTCCGCTCTCTGCAGCAACTCCTTGGTATCTTCGTCCTGTTGCTGTTGTGTGTATCTTACGCTTCAGTGGCTTAAGTTTCGTACTTGGCGCGACTTATCTTTTACAGCGACTTGTTTGCAAAATGACAAAATGAATGGTGCGGTCAGCAGCTCTTCATCTCGCTCTCTGAGCGAGTCCTTCCATTATCCGTGGCGCTTCATTGGATTCCTCAGCACTTCGTCAAAGTTCTCTTCCTCAAGGATTTTACTACAGAAAACGTTACACAATTGTGTGTCAAATGAATTGTAGAAAAATGCAGCCAGTATCTCGCTTGGCCCTAACAAATATGTGTGGATTGTTGAGGGGAATACTTTGCTTGTTTCTTTTATTTATAAATATAAACTTATGTGTGAAGGAAAAGTATGAAATATAATCAATAGATATTAAGCAGATAAGATAGGTCATCCTGTGAACCTTTTTTCTACATACACTTTTATACCTGAAATATCCAACGTAATCATGTAAAATTCCTGATATATTCCCCTACCAATCCTCCCTGGATTTAAGTTAATATTTTTTTGTTGAGCCCAATAAAAGCTGCACAATTCCGCCATCATATAAATTTGCGGCAGGCCGCATACACTTTTTATTCGTGGCCAAAATGCAAAGTGTGCGCCATCATGTTGCCAACGATTCCGCGTAGTCCCTTTCCCTCAAATCCCTGGGAATGAGCCTGATGAGGAGTGAGGCTGGAATTCCGGGTGACGGTCATGTCGTAATTAGCAGTGCACGGCGTTGCCGGCGATAATTAATGACGTTGGTCACGTTGGTTTCATGTCGATTTCATTTCATGACACGGCCGCAGTCACCACCCAATCCACCCATTTTCACCCACTACCACACTCTGCGATGCGGTGATTTGTCAAGCGTTCTCATTGAAAAATAAAGAAAAACTGCTTCGACCACGACGACTGCATGTAAATCTACATTAAATTGAATTTCTCTCGGCCCGGCAACAGAGTTCGGCTCTTTTATTTTATTTTTCACTTCTGCTCCATTTCGCTGGGCCTTCATTAAACGCTGACCATTTTGAAATTCAATGCAATTTGAACTTTCAATTCAGTTGAGTTGAGTTCAGCCCGATTCGATTCGATTCAATTCGATTCGTTTCGTTCAGCGCATAATTGAATAATTTATGGACGTGCCGGGCCAAAAGTTGCCTTTGATCAAGTTTGACCAGTGAAGCATTTTCTTTTTAAGGTCTATTTTATATCAAGTTTTAAAATCTTTTTTTTAATCCTTAAAAGGGTGAACATTGATTATACCTTTCTAAGGTCTTTTGAAACAAGAAACTAAGGAAATGTTTTATGTTCAAACCACATTTCTAGTGTCACTTCCATTAAGTTTAAACACTTCTACTTGGATGAAGCCAAAAATAAAACGCTCCGATGACCAAATGATTTCATTTTCCACATTTCCTAATATGCTCTTCTCAAATTTTATTAATTGTAGTTTGTTTGAGGGGTTTGGGACATATTTACATATCACTTGATTTGCCAAAATTCTCTGATTTCATTTTGTGGACGAAGCAGTCGAGTTGATTAGAGTGCAAATGCCAACGCAGCTTGTTAACTAATTGAATGGCCATTCCTCTCTTCCTCACACTTGGTTATAAAATTAATTAAATTCATTTTGTTTGATAGCCCGCGCGTTTCATTGAGCTTCATCGTAGAGTTTCACAGGATAAGAATCGGGGGATCAAGTGAATAATGCAAAATGTTTGACTTCCTTGAGCTTCATGTATTTGCCAATGCCAGAATTTCATTTCATTCAAATATTTGCATACAATGGCCAACGTTGAGTGTGTATGTGGGAGTGTATCTGTGTGAATATATTTAATCGGTAAATACTTAAGGCTCTTAGCATTAATGCACTCGACATGAAAATGAGTTATTTGGTTTCCTCAAATACATCAAATTGTCTGCTCAGACAAATTTCTGCTCAAAATTTACTGCATTTGGATTTAGCTGAGGTGAACCTGACAAGTGCAATTCATCCAATCCCATCTGCTTGTGATAATCCGTTGAATCGACTAAAAGAGGTTCCTTTGTGAAATAAGCTGATTTTCCTAACCTGATTATTGTATTTTTAGTTCAGGAAGAGTTACTTGGATCTCAATGTTCATATGAAAAGTTTTATGTCATTAATTTCAAATTAATGCCTCTTTTTAGTTTAAGCAGCTTATAAAATTTCCATCTTAGATCTAAGTTTAAGCCAACTCTAAGTTATTTATATCTATAAGTTAAGAATCACATTGAACTGGGAGCTTCCTCTTGCTTCACATTTTCCATTCCTTCGCTGACCAAGATTATTTGCATAGTTGAGCTTCATTGGAATGCATAGAGATGCTGGCAAATAACAATCAAGAATCTGAAAAAGCAGTGCATAAAACGAAGGACACCCATAATTCCCATAAATTCAGCAGCTTTGCAACAAAACCTATTTACATATCCGGATTAAATTGAATATTTATCTCAGCTATTGTCCATATTTCACAGATTAATTGCGCTTCAATTTTGCAAAGAAATTAATGTTCTGTGTGTCAATTAACTTTTGTCCATTGTTTGTTATTCTTTTTTCATTTGTTTTATATTTTTTTTTATTAAAAATCACAATTTATGTTTGACCATCTATCACGTTTCACTCGAAATTCGTTGTCAACGACCACTGGCTACAGCTGGTTGAAGGGGACCAAATGCTTGGAAAAAAGTAGATCTGACCCGATGTCAACCAGCTACACACAGCGTTGCAGATAATCATTTTCTGGAAAATCGCAAAATTGAATAAAGTTTCATTTGTGCACTTGTGTTTGCATTTCATTAAGCACGTTTTGTTATACATTCAGATCGGTAATATCGATGCGCCGGCAGTCGCATAAATCAATTCGCACTAATTACGCGCCATTGTTGTGAACGATTTTATTATTATTTATATTATTTTTTCTTGAATGAGAGAAATTAATTGAATAAAATATGCACGCGCACAGGCAGTAAATCACAATGCATGGGGTCAAACGACATTGAGTATTCCCTTTGCTCGCCCATAGAAGTATGCTACGAAAAAGACTAGTTAAATACCCTAAAAAAGCTTACATAATCTTTGACAATTTCTTTATGAACCCTTAATACTTTGTAAATGATAACATAAAAAAATATAATTAACAAAAATGCAGTTTCCCATATCTTATACACTACACCAATAATACAGCTAATTGCCGTCACAAATATTTCACAATTTAATTTGCCAGCTTTAATGGTTTCTCATGGCCAGGATCATATATCCTGTTCCCCTTCTCTCTCCCTTCCCTCACATTCTGCCTCTATCTGACACTCATTCATCCAATTGTTGTTTCGCATGCGGCACATTAGCTTCATTTGTTCTATTGTTTTGATTATGATTTACAATGCCCAGTGCGCAGCTTTTGTTGCTTTGCTGAATGGGCGGTCTGTATGAGTGTGTGTAACAGTGTGGGTGCGTGCCTGAATTTATGTTGAACAAAGCATAATACATTTGCATACAGAAAAAAGAGAAAAAAAGGAGAGTGAGGCATTTGGACAGCACAATAAATTTCATTTAAGCTCTGCAGAAACATTACCCACTATTTGAATGGCTTTGTGCAGTAGTTGATTTTACTTTATTTGGGTTTTGGTAAACACCAGCCTGAGTGTTATTAACGCTCATTAGACTCTGGGGCTTAAAACCATTTAGTAAGGGAAATAAACAGCTTTTTAATTCGTTAAAAACTTGAATAAATGGTTACCTTTCCTTCTTCTCATATGAAAATCTTAAATTGAAATCTCAATAAACAAGAAACATACCAATTTTGATTTATTACTTCAAAAACATTTTTAAAAATTTTAAATCAATTTCAGAAATGCAGAAATGGTTGCCTTTTAAAAATCCCACATATAAAAACTTAAAATTTCAGACTTCTTCATGTGCGGTAGCGAGTTTAAACGAATCCCGAATCTACTTCTTAACTTCATTTTTTCGCTTTAGATTCGAGCTGTCAGTGGCAGTTGGGTCAACAGATTGATTAGGAAAGAAATGTTCCTCCAGTTTCTTGACACCTTCGGGAGTGCTCAGATCGAAGGCGAACTTCAGGTATTTGTCGAAGAAGTTATTGGTGCGATTGCTATTATGACGTGTAGATCGATGACCGGGATTGGCTGGCTTATCGACACCCTTTAATTTCACATCCTTGGTTCCTTTAAGATCCTTGAGTTCCCTAGATTCCTTGTATTCCCTAAGTTCCTTGAACTTCTTGGGTTCATTAATACCTCGAATTTCCTTCAAGTCTTTAAACAGCTTGATCTTGGTAGTCTCCTTAAGTTCTCCTATTTCCCTTGGCGTAAGTTTTTGAGAACTGGGCTTGGTCACTGGAAGTGGAGCAGCTTTGGATGGTTGGTTGTTAAGAGTTACCCGGGTCTGGGGCTTGGGAGCCACTGATGCACTTTCTAAACGATGACTAATCCGGCTGATATCCTGGATGGTACCTTTTTTGTGGGTGATATCCTTGTTGTGCGAGGTTGAAGGCTCCGGCACCAGCTGTTTCGATGACTTTGTGCGTCGATTGTTACTCATCTTGGGAATCTTCTCCTGGACCAGCCCATATTGGTTGACCTGCCGTTTATATGTTTGGGCAATCGAAGGGTTCTCCAGGCGGCTGGACTTTGTCTTGTGTATCATAGATGAATTGTTGGCCATTTCGGAGGAGCAATCAATCAACTGCAATAAGTAAAGAAAATGTTACCGGATTTTGTTATGAAAACAAATGTATAAATAAGGCAGAGACTGTTACACAATTTGATGGCAAGTTCAACGGTTATATGAGCAATTTATTTTGGAAAATAAATCTTACTAATATGTATGTTGTGCATTTTAGTAGAAATGCAATTTCTTTCCAAAGCTTGGGGTAAAATAAATTTGATCAAATTAAGGCTGATTTCCGGGGAAATTAACCCGAGAAATGCTTCTAAAAAAAGGTTAATAATCCTTTGTGAATGAATTTTTTTCTCTGTTTTGAGCACGACAAAAAGTCAAAGCTTAAAATGCGAGTAATTTACCAAAGAGAAATGTGAAAGAGAAATGCAGAGATAAAGCGTCCTTTTTTTTGTTGGATTACTTTTTCGGGACAGCTGCTAGAATAAAAATAAAAACAACAACAATAAAAACAATTAATTCCGGATAAACACATTTTATAATTAAAAAATTCCTTCGCCTTTTTTTCTTTTCGCTTCTCCGGTATATAATTTGTTTTTGTGTGTGAGCTGGCAAAAACAAAGCCAGTGTGGATAAAGTGAAAGAGCCAAAGAAATTAAGTGGAAAGAGAGAAAAGGAAGAAGCTTAGAGAAGTGACAGCGGAGAAAGAGAGAAGCGAAGCACATCAACTTACGATCTAGGCAAAAAAAAAAAATCAACCAACACATGGCGTATACGCAATATTCCTTTGATTTTGGCATAGAAATTTAATCATCTTTTCGGTGGGAAAAGAAAAAGAAAACCCACTAAGCTGATTAGGGTCTCTTTTAACTAATTTCTTTCTTATTTTCCCCCAGTTTATTTCATCTTTTCCTGCCCTTTATTTTGTATATTTTTTTGCATTTCCGTGGACGAAGTAATTTATTGTTTGTTGTGCGTAATTAACCCGCTTCGTGGTCGCGTTCTTGGCTTTCACACTTTGTTTTGTAGCCTTTTGCCTAATGACGTTGTGCCCGTTTTGAGGCTGAGTTTTCCCAGCTTTTTTCTCCTTTTTTGCTCATGAAAGAAATTTCATTTCATTTTGGTGATTTAAGTCTTATCTGCGTGTAAAGTCGTCCACGTAATTAGTTTCATTCCAGCCTCCATTCCATTTCTTTTTTTTCATGCCCCCAGTTTGCGACCTGTGCAAGTTTTCCACCCTTTTTTTGCTTACATTTCAGAAAATGTGCGCAGCTTGGCTGAAAATGTGGGCGAAAGACTGTGGGAGTGGCAGTTGACGGGGCCAAATGTCAGCTTAGCCCTCGCAGGCAATGCGAAATGACAGGCAAATTAAAGCTGAGTGGACGGGTTGGATGGAGATGGCATCCAGCAGACAATTTATCAGAGATACATATAACATGATAAAGGTATAAAAATAACAGGGTTTATTACAAAAAAAATGAGGAAAAATCTCCTCTGACAGCTGCTGGAAATTATACTAAAGGTAACAAGCTCTTGATTTGTTTCAGGGATTTTCAGATGCAAAAAAATATATTCGAGATAGTTAGCAGAACATAAAAGTTTGCCAAAATAAAAGGATTGTAAGGATAAACTAGTGTTAGGCTACTTAAGGTATATATCCAATTTATTCAACTTATTTAAGTTTTTGATTTATAAAAATTACATTTGAAGCCAAAAGATTTGATTCCTAAAGTACTTATACTGTTAAGATGAATAAAACAATTAAGTATTCTTTATCTTAAACCCTTTCCATTTCCATTTAAGTTCCCTAAATACGTAATACCCATTTCAATGCCCGCCTAACGAGTTGTCCTTTGTCTCCTAAGGAATCTATTCAGTTGCTTTTCTACTAATGTTTAAAGTTTCCTTAACGGGCTTAAGGCACAAGACAACAAAGACAAAGCTCCAAGAGGGAATTGTCCTGAAGGAGTTCTCGTTCTTAGGCAGCCTGTTGCCAATTGTCAAGCAAACAACTATTTACTTGACATTTGCAAAGGAATGTGTTCTGTTCTGTGGACCCCTCTTGACTGGCATTTTCTTCATTCATTCGGGTCCCTTTATTGTCTTGTTTGCCCTTTTTTCCCCTGATCTTTTCTGTTCTGGCAAGGACTTGAAAAAATTGTTTAACTGCTGAATGAGGTGCACATAAAGAAAAGAGGATGATGTTAACTTAACAAATTATTTTAATTGATAGCGCTAAAGTTGTTTTAAAGTATTGTTACTATTTTTTTTTACCATATTTAATATAATAAAGAAAAATAGTAAATCAGATCCCATTGATAAAAATCTTTAAAAATGGAATACTTATTTCTACCCGTGCAGCTGCTCTTTCCATTTCTCCAAGGCATTGATGTCAACAGAATGTTGCAGCAACTTCTCACCTGCCTCCTCACCTGTCTGTTGCACTGAATATTTCACCGCTCGACTGACAGTCAATTGCAGTTCCTCCGAAAAAAAATATATATAAAACGAGAGATACATATATAAATTGCAACATAAATTATACGCACATGGCCGGGGGAAATCGAGCTGGGATAGCTTGTCCCATGTGCTTAAGCGGAAATCGTGTACAAAATGAAAATTCGGTGGGAGGCAAAGTCAACCCCTAAACCCCCTTCCCAAGCCCGCATTTCCCTTATTCTTTTCTCCTGTCGCCGGCGCCATTCGTTGCTGTTAACATTTCCGCTTTATTTGTCTGTCTGCCCTTTCACCCTCCGCTTTATCTATATATATATATATATAGCTATATGTACGCCTTTCAGCTCGACATTCCACCTACATTTGTTTGAATTTTTGTTGCTGCAGCTGCAGTTTTATTTTTGCAGTCCTCAGCTCGGTTTTTATCTCTTTTGTGTCGCCGCTGACGTTGTCTAATGTTTTAAATATAAACTCGAATATAATGCAGAAAATAAAAACATAAATCAAGGCAAATATCGCTTTTGGATTTCTTTTCAATCTGCACAGCTACAGATACAGCTGGAGTAACTTTTCGCTTTTGTTGGCTTGGCTTGTTTGGAAACCATAAATTATTCACACACAAGTTTATCTCTTAATGCGATAGTCGGTGTTCTCCTCGCTTTTCTCTTTGGTTTTCAGTTTGAAAATAATCAGGATACAAAGGAGTCAGTTGGGAGGATAAACACCTAGAGTAGAGAAGCTACTAAAATAATGGTAATCTTGAATAAAAATCCTCTCTTTCTTTATGGAAAGTATGGGTTAAATATATATAAATTGATTTACAGATAGACTCTTATTTTACCGAAACAGTTTACCTTACTTAAGGCTGTCAGAAAACTATCTTTCCTGGTGGTAATTTCCTTTGATTTGGTCTGTCAATAGTTTTCCTCGACTACTGATTGCATTAACATCACTTGGTCCTGTCTTCTGCCTTGCTCACAATTCCCATCTGGCCAAGGGAAAGTGACAGTCGAATTTCCCGTTTAGCTCCTGCTCCTTTTCCAAGATGGGCGATCAATCAATCGTGGCATGCAAAGTGGGCCACCAAGGATTGGCCCCATTCTCTTTGGCTCCTTTAACGTATCGAAACGTGAGATGTGGACGAGATGCATCCTTCCTCTTCAGTTGCCACCTGGTCATTTAGCCACACGAAGCAGTTAATTAAATGATGAAAGCATTGACGTGTCGCAGGGACTAAATGGCCAGGAGGTGGAAGGAGGAGGAGTGCCCAGTCTGGGTTGGCCATGAGCAGTCGGAAGTTCTGACATGCAAGGCTGGGAGTCTGGGGGCCGTGTCCTTGGGCAGGACTCGCAGCTTGACAGACGCACGTTCGGCCAGTCCATAATGCAATAAGAGAGTTTGGAACTCTGCGTGATATAGCCACGAACTCTGGGACCAGTGTGAAGCTTAGGTGCCAAAAGTGAGTTTTTAAAATTTTGGAAAGTTTCAAAAGGTTTTCAAAGTTGAAAAATAATTGGGATAATGTATATAAGAAGATAATATATATTAGAACGTAAGAATTTATAGAACTTATAGAACAAGTTTGAAATGCAAAGTAGACGGAAAATCAGAAGAGACACCGAGTCTTACCACACCACCACCTGGCACCACTGTGGTTGCACTGGGTGGCTTTTGGATTGGGTGGGGGATTCTGTTTGGGGTCACGTAGATGCTTCAGTTGCATGTCACACGCCGCTTGATTGCTTGCCTGATTCGTTGATTGCCCAGCTATTCGTTCACGTGACAACGCGTAGCCCTCGGGCATTGTCCAAGGAACCAGATCCCGACACATGGAACCGAGAACACAGAGCCTGGAATTCTGCAGTCACAATTCACCTGCTCCCCACACACAAGCCCAAACTCACCTGTCAGTCAGTCATTCGGTTAGTCAATCTACGTGTGTGTGTGTGTGGTGTGCTCACTCTAATTTTCATTTCATTTCCACTCGAGAGCCACAAACGCAAACCAACCGAAGCGATGTTGGCCAAGTCCAGTTGGCCAGTTTGCTGATTTGATTGATGGCTGGGCTTGCTGCTGCTAATGAACTTACATAAGTGAAACCGTTAACAAGTTATGGTCCCGTATTGCTGTTGGCCCAACAATTTCTCATGTTGCGAATGTAAACAGATTTTGGACTAGTTTCGGGTTGGCCCTCGGGCTGAAAAATTTTGGTCGTCGTCGTGGAGAGGGCAAACCTTGTTAATTAGCAAAGTTGATAACTTCACGCAGATTTAACATATCAAGTGGGTAACAGAGTTTACTTTTTCCTCTGGCAGTTGTACATGAAGTTTTTCAACAGCTTTTTTCTCGGACTTGCGTGTAGTTACTTTTTTTTGTTAGCTTCAGAAAATTGTTGACCATAGCCTGGGAATTTGTACCTTGGGCACTTAACATGTGGTTTCCTGTAAGCAGAGAGAAATATGAAGCTTGATTAGTACAGTGCGTATACGAAGTGTAGGATGGAAGTTTTGGCTTGGCTTAAAGTTTAGAGCATTCTTTGTTACTAATTAATTGGCTGTTATTAATATTTACAAAATCTATGACGTTGTCTACTTTAATAAATCTTTTATCTGGAATCTGATTTAATGTTTACTTTCAATTAATTTCCTTTTCTTTACAAGCACACAGAACGAGCAAATCCCAAATGATGCGGACTTAATTTATAAGACTTTCCTATACTAGCTGACTACAATCTACTTATTTATTTAGTATCTATTTTATGTAATCATTTATCTGGGTAAGCTCTGCCGATTCTCTAATGAATTCAATTCAATTAAGCAACTTTCATATTCAAGTCCTCTCCTGGTTGTCAACATTTCAGCATGTCAAGCACTCTCCATCTAACTTCTTTCCAGAAACTTTGCTGTCCCAGGACATATGTGAGTGGGTGAAAGGCGAGTCAACACTTGACAGCCAAACGATAATTTTCTTAACTAAATTGTCCAGGGCAAGGCAAACAAAAGTTGGGCAAACAA